GGGTATTTTGACATAATTTTGTATGTATTTGTCGGTACAAGAGCAAGAAGAGGCAAATTTCGGTGTTCAAGCGCTTTGAGACGCGCCTCTCTGCGTGCGCCCTGTGCGCACAGAACACCGTGTGCGGGTGCTGAATTGGGCTCTTTCACGTCTTTTTCTGTTTGCATGTTTAAACTGCGATTTGTATTTGTTCGTTTAGGTGCAGGAGGACGCGAAGGAGAGCTTGGTTCGGTGTTGCTGTCCGTGAGACGCGGCTCTCTGCGTGCGAGTACTCAGTGGAGTTTTTCCGCGTCTTGTGTTTGAATGCTTTAAACTCTTTTGAATGTTTAAATTGGCAAGGCTTAAAAACACGTGCAAATGATAAGCTTTCGTGACGACGAGCAGCAGTGACCCGTCAACTGTCCTGAGCGTCTATTTAGGCTGGCCTCAGCCAGTCGGTTGAGATCGCCGGGGGCCCCCCCTCAGCCGTGGGCCCCTATAATTGTCACCACCTTTCACCCCACTAGCGACGGCCCTGAGCATGAACGGTATATGAGTGGAGCGCTCGACTGAGCGGAGCACACACACGCATAGAGCGGGATAATACGCAGAGCATCACACCACGTGAAAGTGAAACCTGAGCGGTGAACTAATTTTCGGCAGCCGGAATTTCAGTGCATCTCTAATTATTGGCGACATCAGAAATGGATATTATATAATAGATGCTTTTTTTGAACATTTTAGCAATTTAAAATATTAAAAAAGGATTGGGAAGGTTGGGAAACACTGCTCTAGTGTTCCACCATACACATTCACTACAATTATTACGTGACATGAGAAAACACACACTGACATTAAGGATATGTCATTTTGCAGCATATTTCTTGATTTATCAATCATTACGATATTGTAATCATAAATATATATTTAATATAGTATACATTTATATAACCAGTACTGTATATGAATATACAAAATACTCATTTACAAACATCGACACTTTCACAATGAACAAAAATATCCCCTTATAACAGCAGTTTTTATACTAAAGACTGCCAAAAACAGTACATGTACGTTTATTCTTAAATGTGTGCAACACACAATGTCAGCACACCACTGGTCAAGGAAAATCTTTCCATAACCCCCTGCTTTGGTACGTCAATAACTATTCATAATAGTGATAAACCTACAGATAACTAATAAATCTACCAAGATTAAATGACAAACAGTGTGCAGAGGTAGGCACATTGTTCTCTCTCTGTGATAAATCACACTAACATACTTGTACATGTTACAAAAAGTTAAACTGTGCGGCATCTAATAGTCGAACAAGCACCGAAACAGGTTTTTTAATCACATGCTTACGTATTTGATCTGCTTATTGATTATTTGTTAAATACACATAACTGGTTTTAAAACACAGAACAAGGGGCTTAAAAGAAAAAAGACCCAGGGCCAAAAAAAAAAAGATTTCTAGTAAAACAGTTGTATTTAACAGAAATGTAGTACCTGATATCATAACTCTTGATGCTCTGAAAGGTGTCTTGGTTACATTGCAGCATCTTTGTTTGTTGTAAAGCCATACAAAACTGTTTTAATAAAACACTTAACTTAATTTTCTGTTTCCAGAAAAAGAGTAAAAATTCAAACACAGCCTTGGTTGTACGTCAAAGTGTTATGGTCTTATCGGATCTTAAGATGAGTCTGTGAGAGATGCTTTCAGCTGGAAACAGTTAAATAAGTCACACACTGTTGCATAGACATCTTTGTATTTCTTATCAGAGAACAGCGAAAGGGTGTCCATGTCAACAATATGCTTAAAAAATGTAAGATATTAAAAAAGGAAAAATGTAAATCTAGTCCAATTATAATTTAGCTATGGAAAAAATAAAATTAAACATTTTTAAATCATAATACTGAAAGAAAAGTAATTTCATGAAGTTAAAGTATTTTGTTTTTTAAAGCCACTGGATCCATTGTTATGTAACATGTTATACTTGAGAGCTACAAACAAATGTCCTTGATTGAAAGTCATGGACAGATTTCTACATATCCTCTTGATAGAATTGCATTTAATGTACTATGTTAAGCCACAGTGCAAATACCACATTAAAAAATGAATACACTAACTATCCGGAATTATGTAACGATTCAGTTGTGCATTATAAGGTAAGAGACTAGATTTAACTCATTAAAAGTCATCTTGGTCCATACCCTTACAATTCATTCACTGTCCCTTTATGATTGGGCCCACCTGTGCGTATCCTTTCCTGAGACAAGGACTATGATTGTAAGAAGGTTATTATGGAGCTGATGAAATCCAAAGGCTTGTCAGCATGAATCCAGTGACTGGCATCTGGGATGTACTGGATATCGGCACAAGGAAAGAGCCTCTGGATTTCAGGGTAATCTTCCGAGCTAAGAGAATAACAAGGGGTCCATAGCAAGAAAACAGATGTATGCTTAAAGCTGCAGTCCGTACGTTTTGCCTCTTTGTCGCCATCTCTGTTTGAAAACCTGGAATTGCAGCTGTGTGCGGAATTATCTAGCTTGTGTGGGTTGTGAGTCGGCGCGGCTCCAGCACGGATGAATCTAATGTTCTGACAGGGTATGTGATTTTCAAAAACATTTTAGAAAACTGATTCGGGCCGAATCACAAAACAAACTTGTAGCCAATCAGCAATAAGGGGCGTGTCTACTCGTGATGTGGAGCACTCAAATTAGAAAACATTATTATAAGCTAACCGTTGTGAATCGGGCTAAAGTAAGGCAATAGTTTTGAACACTGGCTGGTTATGTACTTGCTCAAATATTGATTTCAGATCATTTTTAAACAAAAAAAGTTACGGACTGCAGCTTTAAATAAACATGCATTTAAGACATTCAAATATTCACAAGTAATAGAAAGAGATTCAGTTAGCACATGTGAACGTACAAGTAGTGGTTAAATTTACCTTATATAGGCTGAACTACTGCCACCCAAGAAAAGAGTTGGACCCTCATAGGTGTTATTAAAATCAGGAAAACCCATGATGTCTTCTAGGTGGTTTGAGATGGCTTCCAGGTTAATCCTCCAGCCATAGTGACCATTTTGCTCCTCCAGGTTAGTAAGGAGGAACTGACGCACTGAACGCTCCTGCAAGCAACATAAATGTGCGTGATTTATTCTATAATTGCAATAAAAACACCACAAACGATAAAAACATTAATTGATAAAAGTCCAAACTCTTCTAGTTAATTAATACGGTTACCTTAACGATCTTCCTGAGCTGGTCTTCAGCCAGTCTTCGTGCTGTGGAACGTGGGATATTACTGGCTATCTTCACCTCTTTCATTGCCTGAATGTAGGCATGGAAACTGGTGTGGGCTGAAGTCGGAGAGGGACTAATGTCCACGACCACCAAACGTTCCACTAAACTAAGCTGCATTAGATAGACAAAATAATAAAAAAGTAATAAAATTCTGTAATGTAAAGCTGAAATTTGAATGCATCCTTGCTTAATAAAAGTAAAACAACAAAAACTTACTGACCCCTAACTTTTGAACTGTATTATATTTTTATAAAGACTTGCATACTACCAAGATCTATTTTCATGGTATTTTTATCTATAACCCAAACTAACCTTGTCTTGTCATGAAAATGTAAAATTATAAGATACTTCTTATTTGATTTATTGAACTTGGCACACAGTAATGAGGGTTGACCATTTCTTACATGTTTCTGCATGGTGGCTGTACCACATGATTTTGATTTGGCAGAAAAAAATCCAAAACTGCTTAATTTCTAAGACATAATACTAAAACAATTAATAATATTAAATAACCATGCCATACTCTTAAATTAGTCTTTTTATCTTCATTGTGATATGGCAATTGTATCACCATGCAGTTTTTGACTTCATGCCCCTTAAAAAGATCAAAATTAATTTTCATTCATAAATTTAAAATCATCATCATAAAAGGAATGCACTCAAGTCACTGTATATGCATGAATTGCATTTTTATGTATTTTTGAATAAATTAATACATCAACATGAATGCCCTGTCATTGACCCTTAGCCTAATAGAAGACCTAAAAGATGTTTCAATATGCTACATACAGTACAAGCATGAAATAAATTATACAGCATGTAATACCTGTGACAAAGCTGTTGTCATTGCAACCTTGCCGCCCATGCTGTGTCCAATCAGGACACACTTCCCAATGTGCAGCTGTCCAAGCAGATGCCTCAGATCGTGAGTCATTGCTTCGTAGGTCAAGACAGGACTGTGTGGGCTTTTGCCATGGTTGCGAGCATCTACTGTCAGCACCTAACTAGACAAAATACAGTCAGGACACTCGCACACACTCTTCTGACGCCCACAGCACCTCTAAACCACTGGAGAAACCGGAGGCATACCTTCCTGCCAGTCCGCTGAACCAGGGACTTGGCTATGGAGTGAAAGTTTGATTTGCTCCCAAATAAACCATGAAGAAACACCAATGGCGTGCTGTCTCCTTTCCCATCAAACACATCGTAGGTCAAATTTACAGGGCTAAGAGAGAGCAAAGCAGACAAAGATGAAGACTGTCACACAATCAAAACAATGACAATTATGAGACTTGCTTTCAGAAGAGATCAGGATTTAATAACACGTTATTTTAAGAAAAGATATGTGTTGACTACACACATGGGCCTTGTTTATAGAATCATAAGAATAGAGCTCTAGCTAATGTATACCTTTATTTATGTGACCATCACCTGTAAATAGCCAAAACAGAACATAACGCATGTCATATAATTAGCTTTTTTGCTTTGGTTTGACTCTTTTTTTCCTTCTTAATAACATACCTACACCTGACTAATTTACTAATGCGGTATAGAATGCATGGTTATCTACTTAAAAAAAAAAAAATGAATGAACTTTTTAATGTAGCAGCCCTCTCTCACACATGTAGTCCTGTGTAATTAACAGTATTTAAACCGGAACATTAAAGGTGCAACACCTGTCACTGCCAGCACGGTCCAGTCGCGAGATTCCGCTGCAAAAATCCCGAAGTCCCGTTACAGATAAACAAGACGACGGGCCGCAATACACTCCCCTAGTTAAAATACGGCACAGTGCACTCATGGCAAAATTTGACATGCTAAAACCTGTGTCCGGACTTCATTCGACCGGGGTTGGCCACTTTAAAGGTCGTGATGTTGTTTAGCTAACACTAAGGAAACCGCACCACAGTGTTGCCAGATCTCTCTGGAAAAATAAAATAAACAATAAACGTATAATTGAAACGTGTACAAAACACACACTAAATACTTATCAGAAGTTAAAATGTATTTCCAGTTCTTTTGCAAAAACAATTATTTGTAAATGTGTCACATACACAACTAGCCAGCTAAAGCAATCGCTCTTTTGCACTCACATCTATAAGTTACTAATACGCATACACATCATTCGGGTAGTTTGAGCACTAGTAATCCTAAAAACGTGACTCTATTTACAAGAAATTTTATGATATATGTTTAATATGATATTTATAAGCAACTTAGTGGGGAAAAAAACAACAACCTGAAGAGGCATAAAATAAACGGTCGTGGCAACACCGCAGAAAGACAACCCAGTTCGTGATGTCACTACGTCGTGCGTCTATATGCCTGCAAAAATAGTGAAATTTCACACACCACAACTTTGGAAATAATATTTAGTGTATGACTATGCACGTACACGAGAGGCAATCAATTAAAGTAGGGGAAGATAAAAGAAAGAGAGGAAAATATATTTGGATAAATCAGAAAGCACTGCTTATGGACCAGTATGACCAGATAGTGGCGCCACAGACCACGACAACAGCCTTTATAATCGACCGTTTGCTTTCATGCACTGCAAAGAAGAGAACGGATCGTGAAGAAAAGCTAAATAATTTAAGTTGAACAATTTTTTAAACTTACATTAGGATTAGCCCTATACATCTTAACCCTTTTTGCTGAAAATTCTTTATCTAATTTGGTTCCAAGCCTACAAACATTGCTTATTTCTTATTATCTAATAATAATAATAATAATTGTTATTATTATTATTATTATTAAGATCCTTTTTTGTTGTTGTTGATGGTGGTGTATACTGCGTGAGCAAAGTCAGTAATTTTTAGTGCAATGGGAAAGAGAATCCGTTGGTCAAAATAACCAGAACACAACATGAGACTTAATTCAATGAATAATTAGTATCTTAATTCAGATTTTACTTTTAATATCAAGACATTTATTATTAAACAATATAATTTTAAATCAAACTTTATCACTTATCACACATATTTTCAATGATAAATAGCAATGTCAAAACACCTCTGCCTAAGCAAATGAGAACTGAAGTTATGCATTTTAAGTTTATCAGCTGACATCAATTCTTTATATAAATGTTGCAAAGGCCATTTGAATGTAGACTGAAATGGATGTGAACGATTTTCATATCATCGTCACAAACAAGCTCCCACCAACTTTCTTAATAACAAAACTAGCACAATCCTGACCTTTAAATTAGACCTGACAATATTTAATACAATTTAACTTTGCCCCACAAACAAAGAAGACATGTTTTGACATGCAGAAAGCCAAATTAAGGGGAAGTCTACACACAATAGCATGACTAAATGGACACAAGACAAAATATTCCACAGCAAATAATAGGCAGTAGAAATGAAAAGAAGAAGTATGACAGTATTATCAATAAGATCCTCAAATAAAAACATTATGGGAAGTTTAAAGACCATTTAGGCCTATTACACTGAGTACTTTAAAACATATTTTGTTGGGGACATTTAATGGTTTGCATGTAGTTTGTATACCGTTCTTGGTTCAAAGTAACCAATAATTAAACATGTTTTCCCACATTTACAGGACATAGGCTACTGTAGTTACACCCTTGTTTCATCAGTGAGGGCTATTTAGGGTTAACTGCTTTCACAGTCCCCTCTCTTATTTAAGACAACTTAAGAGGGCCAACTACTTGTTTATGTGCATCTAAAAAGAAAGTGACAGAGTGAGAGCTTCAGCCTCCTCCATGTCTCCTGCTGCCATAGGCAACCCAGCAGTGGGAATAAAGCAGCTAATGACCACAGTCACCATGGTGAGGGCACATGCAGAAGGGACACACACAATGAGAAAAAAATAAGAAAAAAGAACATGTTAGCACTGCTGAATAATACACTTTATGCATATCGATCTCAGGAAATGATTAGGTAGGTTTATGTATCAGGCATTTTTTTTTACTTAAAAGTTATATAAGAATGTGCTGTCAAATGATTAATCGCGATTAATTGCATCCAAAATAAACGTTTTTTGTTTACATAATATATATATGTATGTGTGCTGTGTATATGTATTATGTATATATATAAATACACACACATACATGTATATATTTCAGAAAAATAGGTTATGTTTATATAAAAAATATATTTATTTAAAATATAAATTATATGAATATAAATATAGACATGTAAATACATGTAAATATTTTCAAAATATATACTGTATGTGTGTGTATTTATGTATACATAATAAATATACATGAACACACACATACATTATGCAAACAAAAACTTTTATTTTGTATGCGATTAATCGCAATTAATCATTTGACAGCACTATGTGTTTTTTACTGAACAGTGTAATTTAGAGAAGTCACCATGAACATGAAGAAAATAAAAAAGATTAACTAGAACGAAGATTTATGTATGGTTTATGCTCTGTTATTATATTAATCAAGAGATCATATTTCCAACAACTCCTCCTTTAACCCTTTAACTGTCACCCCCCATTTTTTAAAATAGGCATGCAGGTGCACTATCCAAACTTAAATTGTTGTAATTTATGAAAATTTTGGAATACAGACATAAGGTTGGTCTCTTTTTAAAGAAGAAAATCAGCAAATTATCGCAAAAGTGAAATTTAAGTATCAAAAAGTTATAGTAGTTTAAATTTACTGTAAAGAAAATGCACTATATTAATTTTATTTTATATATAATAAATATTTTACATATCAGGTTTTACTCTAAAATTGGTATAAAATTATAGCCTTATGTCTAAATAAGTTATGTTCCAAATTTGAAGTTTATATGAAAAAAATGTAGGTTCCTGTGAGATTTTATTTAGGGCGTTATACCACAAACAGCCACCGGGTGCCATCCAAACTCCATAGAATTTTTTAATGCATTTTTCTGTCACAAATGTCTAGAATTCTCTGTCAATATTACTTCTATCTCAAAATAACCACATCCTGAGACTCAGACCTTTCCAATGATATGTTTTTTGTCAAGATTATAAAAAGTTTTGATTCTAAAAGACTGTAATTCATTTTGTAATATGACACTTGACACTGCCCACTAAGGGGGAGGAGACTGCCAAAAGATTTTAAAGTACCATTTCCATGGTAACGCAATGTCTGATTTCGAAATGGTTTTCACAGGATGAATCTTGGGCTTCTAAGCTTTCAAATGATATATGATTTATGACGATTACTAAAAGATTTGATAGAGAAAAAAGACAACAAAAAAAAAGAGCGCCAAACGTCCCACAGGTGGGACGGTGACAGTTAAGGGGTTTAAGACCTTACCAGTATTTAGCCTACACAGCAAAAACCCCAGAGTTAAATCAACTCTGCTCAGAGTACATGTTGTCCCAATCTACAGAGTGTTAAAGTAACACTGAAGCTGAGTTAAAGTTAATGGGATAATTAAGCAATTATTTAATTGATGCGTGATCATTATTAAAGAAAAACTGCAGTTAACAATGTTGAAGATGAACAACTACTGCTCAGGCTATTAGACATGAAAACGTATCACATAATCCTCAACAGTGGTAACTCTGCTTCAGTGTTACTTTAACATGCTTTAGATTGGGACAATATGTACTCTGAGCAGAGTTGATTTAACTCTGGGGATTTTGCTGTGTAGGCCATGCAAACCAGACCATGAAGCATGAAAATACACACGCATACAAGAACAACTAAAGAACAGGATCAGGCAGTGAGCACGTAACTAAATATGTGACAAAATAATTATTAATATAATATAATTGTTTTTTAAATATACTTTTAAAAAAAGGGAAGTTTCCACATACTGTATCAGTTTTTAAGACCTTTGATCTTGTAAAATAGCATGTTGTTTTTCCATGTTCGGTCACTAGTTGGCACTCCAGCAGGGTCTTTAGGAGAGACGTACTGTACACCATTAAACTGAGTTCAAATGACTTAAAAATGATTCTTGCATTTAGATTGATATATTCAAATAATAATAACAATATCCCGTGATGATCTGTGTGATTTGACCTTTCATCAATCATTCACACAGTGACTTTCAGGATCACATTAAACTCCCCAGAGTTAAATCAACTCTGCTCAGAGTACATATTGTCCCAATCTACAGAGTGTTAAAGTAACACTGAAGCTGAGTTAAAGTTAATGGGATAATTAAGCAATTATTTAATTGATGCGTGATCATTATTAAAGAAAAACTGCAGTTAACAATGTTGAAGATGAACAACTACTGCTCAGGCTATTAGACATGAAAACGTATCACATAATCCTCAACAGTGGTAACTCTGCTTCAGTGTTACTTTAACATGCTTTAGATTGGGACAATATGTACTCTGAGCAGAGTTGATTTAACTCTGGGGATTTTGCTGTGTATACTTTTCATACTGAGAAACATATTTGTCACACACTCTAAGAAAAGACTGAAAAATAGGGCGCAATATACAGTAATATACATGAAGGAACTTTCCGTATTGATTTTTTACAGGTGTTTTCCTCGTATTTTGAATTACACATTGCATTGTGGTCATGTCAGTAAATGTCAGTAAAATGTAAGTAAACTACTGGCAGAAAATTACCTGTACCCTTCCTGTATTCCTACTGATTTTTCCCCCCATACAGTGCATACAATTATCAGTCAACTTAGGTATTGGTACTTGCTTTAATGTAAATATTCACTGATTTAAAAAAACATCCAGTTAAGAACTCTATAGAATAATTTTTCTAACAGACATATTCAAATTCAATTATGTATTTTGTAACTCTCTAAAGTAATCATTATATATATTCAAAGAGGATTAATCACATTCTATTAATTATATACATTTTATATAATGTGCTAAATCATTTAAAAATGAATTAATACAATTTTAGATGCATATACTGTAAGCATAATTCTCTCAGCCTGCAGTGTTGATTATCTCAGGAATGTGAAGTGGTTTCCTCCACTCATGGGACAGCGTTACAGAAAAGCGGATGTAGCCATTTTCTTTCATTCTTTCCAGTCAACAGACTGAGTCTTTTAACAACAGGAATGATTTGCAGTCTATATGCAACAGGATCTATCTTGCCAAATAAAAAAGTAACCATAAAATTGATAATCAGAGGGCAAATTTCACTCCTGGCATTTTCTTCGCCTTCTTCTCCCTAATCAATGCAGTATTATGTTTGATTACAGCTATTATTCACTCAGTGTAAACTAAAGGACACAGGTTCAAAGGTTAAGGTCAGATATGCAACGGAAAGATTTCTTTATCATAATATTTCTAGTTATATTTTAAGATAAACACTACAAAACACATCTATATACTGTATATGTTCCATAAAGGTGGTGATGTGATGTCATACAACTCATTCTGTCCCTTTGAGAAAATTAACTACATTATTAGTGTATAAGGGGTGCTGCAGGGTGATGTTGAGCCACACGAAATTACCTTTGGTTGAAGGTTAGATGCAATGCAGTAGCTTATAATATGTGTTCAGTTGCTTAGTTCAGTTTTACACAAATATAGCCTACATAAAAACACTGTATACTATGGATATTGCTGGCTGTGACAGATTGCTTCAGAGTTGAGATGTGTTCCCCAGTTGTAAGCTGCTTTGGATAAAAGCATCTGCAATATCACATAAAATACATATATAAAATGCAATGAAAACTATTTTTCCCCTCTCGTTATGTGCAGTTACTGTGTAGTTTTTAAATATAACACTGAATGAATTCTCACAAAAAAGGAACATTTAATTTGAAAAGAGCACATTTTTGGATACTGGATAAATCCACCTGCAA